ATTTGATTTGAAATAACCAGTATCAGCGGTGCGCAATCATTGAGAACCTGTGCGAGCAGTGTACTACTTTGCCTACCAGCGGCGGATGTGTGTTCCGCCCGTGCGGCGACGGCGGCCGGTCACACACATCGTGATGTGGATGTCAAGAATAACGATGCTGGCAGCAATTGTGCGCGCATATGCTGTGTCAATTACTTGCACGCGATTACCCCGCCCTCGCGCAGTATACCTGTACGCGGCAGCTACAGTAACTCCTGCAATTAGCTCCGTCTACAATAACTTTCTCAATGGGACATCACTGTTGTGTTCTATTGTTAAACTTATATGAATAGAAACAAGCAAATTTCTAGTGTTAAATCTAAATCAGTGATTTTTCAGTAGTCAGAATATTCCTGTAGTATTCGTCATGTCTGTCAAGCTCTTATTAGAAAGTCGCATTGGAGGAAGTGATAATTTTCGCTGAAGTGATAGTTGTCGCTGTTCTTTTTGAATTTACTACCAGTAAAAGCTCGTTCGGTTTATATAAGTGGCAGATAGCAAATTGCTAGCAATAGTGAAGTCTGTGCCTGTTTAGAGTTCCTATAACTTCTTGAATAGCTATGGTTGAATAGATTATAAGGTTGACCTAATCAGAGAAGGATTTAAGAACTTTGTTCGCAGTTCAGAGATCGCCCTAAGGATGAATGAGCCAAATATTTACCTCTGGATAAATACAGCCCAAATTTAGGTCATGCACTTGATGACAATTCAAATAGATGTCCGAAATGATTTCCTGAATATGCCTAAATACTTCCCACCTCATCGTCAGCACTTATTCTACCTAATTAGATTTTTTTTGATTATTAGCACCTTATTCTCCAAAATGACGTAGAAATTACCAAGCGTCAGTTGAAGATATTGACCTGACAATCAAACTGAATCGAACAGACGGAAATTCCAAAAGAAACTCATTCCTATTAATTTGTTTCTTTTCCCTATTTTGTCTTTCGTGAACAACGCGAATACAGTTAGAGCAGAGCAACGCAAACTCGCCCATTTTTTGAATCTACACCTCCGCTTTCATATTGAGCACAACATATTCGGGTTGAGCAGAGCTCTTCCATGCTCTTTCGTAACGCGCACGCACATGTTGCGCGGGCGTATGCGCTTCGAAAGCGAGGCTATTTGCAGGCTGCTCAGGATGGTACCGGAGGCTGGTGCAAGTTATCGTTATCGTTGACCGCCACCCCACACATCTATTGTCAGAGTAAGTATTTTGACTTCTCATCAGATGACGATGACTTACAAACTGACTGAGCTATCCCAATTTAGGCGACCAATTCGCCGTGCTGCGCGACAAAATCGCTCCGGTATAGATCAGCCTACTCATCGTTCCTCCTCGTATTGGAGCTTCCCGAAAAGTAGTGTTCCCTAGCGAAAAAGGCATACGATCGTTCTGGAAAAAAAATCGAAAATTTATTTGCTTTGCTTGTTTACGTTAGTGCAACATGGCCCTGGGACCTTTTCCTACTAGTTTTACGATAATTGAGATCAACATCCTTGTCCAACACACCCAAATGGTCCAGAAGAGGTGGAAAGTGAAAATTCTCCTCAGACACTGCCCCAAGCAGGAATAACTAGTCGCACCAGTTCTGAGAGAAGAGAAGGACGCCGTTAATTCGAGTGCTTATTCTGTAATGCTAGCGTACAATCTGTTTTACGCCAAAACTGCGCAGGAAATTTCGTTGTTTTGCACCGTGACTTGGAC